TGAGTTATCCGGTGTTTTCTGTGTCTCCTGATAATGCTTTCCCTTCAACTTTTTCAGTTACGCCGTGTCATGTTTCGGTTTGTGACCAACAGGTGGCACTGTAGGGCTCTCCCTGCAGCTGCAGCTGCACACCTGTTGGTCGTTATGTCATTAGCTCTTTAAAAGGACTCCCGCCCGGCCACTCATTGTCGGGTCATTGTTGCTGTTTGTTTCTTTGCTGCTGTCATGTTTGTATGTTCTGTCATGTTTAGGTCATGTTTCTGTTATTATTAGTTTTGAGCTTCTGCCATGAGTTTTGTTTGATACTTTGGACTTTGCTTGTTTTGGATTTAGTTTTCTCTGTTTTAATACAATTTGTCTAGTACACCCTGCTCCTCCCTCCCTCCCTCCCTCCTGCCTGCTTTTTGGGGTCCACCACCACCTCGCAACATGACACGCGGATTCCCCGATCCACTTAAATCAGTCATTGATGCACTTTGAGGCCAGATACATTATCTGGGTGGAGCAACCCTAAAATGTTCACAGTCAAATCTGGCCTTGCGCACTTTCTGCTGTTGATTGAAGCACTTTTGTTTGTACGCTGTTTCGTCAACTGCCCGGGGAAGGTGAAAAATCATACTGCAATTGACGTTTGGAAGCAGTTCCAATATAAGCCACATGTACTAAGTGCAGTCAAACCCTTAAGAAACAAAGTCGTCATGCAAGCACATTAATAAATCATTTTCCTGACAGCTGCCTCTGCTTGACTGTTTTCTCCCCATGGCTTGTATGGTAATACTCCATCCCACATAAAAACAATGCTATTTTGCTGCTGTGTTTTAGAAGAGAAAAGGACCTAATGAATTGTGATCAGTACAAAGTTCAAAAGTCAAGATCTGTGAGCATAAGCTTTACGCGGCCGCAAAGTCCGCACGGATACACCCAGCAAAGTTATATTTCAGCCGCCACGCCACTCCGTGCTGTGTCTGCAATGCTCATATTCTCCGCACTGTGCACCTACAAAAACTTATAACAGAAATACACCCGGATTTTCCACACGTAAAAACATGATAGACAAGCAAAAGCTGTTATAAACAACATTGTTTTCTACTTCTCGATTGTTTTCATTTTGTTAAATGTATGTAGACTGTTCACTGCAAACGTTTCTTATCGATAGTTTATTGGAAAAAAAAAATATTGCTTTGAAGTGTTGTTCATATGCCATGGACCAGGGGTGCCCAAACATTTTTGACTGAAGATCTACTTTTCGATCAACCAACCTCCCGCGATCGACCTGTTAACGCGCACACACACGCACATACACACGCACACCATGATGAGGAACAGCCTGTTGTGGAGGCATGCGAGGCACTATGGCAGCGTGGTAGCTATCGTAGCTCATGCGTACCATTTGAAAATGCTTCCCTCCAGATTCCTATTCTTTGCCAGTGCCCTCTGTGAATTGTACACGAAACAAACTCTGAATGAGAATAATGATAACGATAAAAGATATAGCGCAACCTCTCCGATCACAAGCTCCAATTGCAGACTGCTGAGTGCTAACAATTTCCAGTGACGCACGTCACGCGACACTGTAGCTTAAAGATTTACCTGCTTTATTTTATTTTATTTTTTAATACTTTTTGAGAAAATGAGACTGATAGGATGGTTCGGGTGCAGTGTACATTAACACAAAAAATATATTACTAACATCCACAAAGACACATGAATGGTTGTTTGTTTTTTTTCTGCTCTACATCCCTCGCGATCCACTTGGGACCAGTCCGAAAACTACCGGTCGATCGCGATCGACCCCTGCCGTAGACACTTTTCACTGCTTCCAAGAGTCTACTAAACAGCAGAGGAAAGCCGTGCAGCATAAAAGGCTGCAAAAGTCGAGTGAGCAGGATTCTGCATGTCTCATTTCTGCATGGAACATATATATATATATATATATATATATATGTCAAGCATAAACCAAGTTTTGGTAACTTGCATATCTGTAAAGGAACCTTTCATGCTAAAAGGCAGAGTTCATACAGGATTTGGAGCAACATACACGACCATCCAACAGTGTTTTTTTTTTTCAGGGACTAGCCTACTTATTTCAGCAAGACAATGCCAAGCTTCATTCTGTATGTTTAACAATAGCAAGGATTTGCAGTAAAAGTGTGAACTTATATTTGCCTGCCTGCAGTCCAGACCTGTCTCCCAATGAAAATATTCTGCACATTATGAAGTACAAAACATGACAAGACCCTGGACTATTGAGCAAATGAAATTGTCTTTCAACCAAGCTTCAACAATTAGTGTCCTCAGTTCCAAAATGTTTGAGTGTTAAAAGGCAAGGTGATGTAAGAGTGGTAAACATGCCCCTGTCCTAGCTTTTTTGGAATGTGTTGCTGACATAAATTCAAAATGAGTAAATATTTGCATGAACAAACAAAACAAAGTAATGAAGTTCATAAGTTTGAACATGATATTTCTTTGTCTTGTATTCAACTGAATATGGGGTGAGTGAAACGGACTGGCAAATCATAGTTTTTGGGGTTTTTTTGTATGCAACGTCTCAACTTCATTGGAATGGATTTTGGATATTCTGGTTGCAGGAGTAGGTTGGATGATCAGAATCCTAATTACTGCCTTCCTGAATGGAGTAAATCATGAGATTGACACTAAATTAGCACTCCATCCTGTATTGCTGAATTCATTGTTTTGACTGAAGTCTAAATACCGGTAGCTGAGCTGTATTCAGAAGCATACCTTCCAGACAGGCTATTGCTTGCTAAATTAAATGAGATTCCCAGGCCATTGATACTGGTCACCCTGTTTCAGTCCGACAAGAGAGTCACCTACAATCTGAGTCACCTACAATCTGAGCCAATGCAGGTGGGATGTCTCCTCCTTGGTCACAAGGAGCAACCATACATCCAACAGCTGCCTTTGCGGTGGCATATCAGTCTCTTCTTTATTACTTCTTCAATGCATTAGACGAGTACTGTTGTTTAACTGATGGTAGTTAGCAAAAAGTCTGACGAATAAGGTCAATGTCCCACGATCTCCTCGACCTCGTTGAACTTTTTTTGATGTTCATTGGGCCAAACTGCTTGGTGTCATTTTCATCAGCCCGAATCAGCTCTTGACCTAGTCGTCGATGGCCAATTTTTGGATCAAGTAACCTCCAAGACTCCTCCCCTTCTCCTCCTTTTGTCAGGTACCTAAGATGAATTGATGATTACAGCATTTCCTGTTCTTTTCTTACAGCTCTCCTCTGTCTTACTTGAGTCCGACAAGTGGTTTTCAGTAAGGTAGGAACAATCAGTCAGTACCTTTACATTATCTACATGGTGCATTGAGCTACTAACCGGAACATCCCTTTGCAGTCTGCTGATCTGTCCCTTCTCCTCCTCTTCCCTTTTACCTTAACTCTTACGCTCAAACAGCCTAATTGAGAGAAGCAATTTATGGTGAAGGTGGATGCCTTTCTAGTGGAAGTCTTCACACAATGATCTGTTGAGAATAGTAAGAACCACCCATCAGCTTTCTAATCCCCTACTTTAAGTGCCTCTAACTGCAGTAATGTTGGAAACCAAGGGTTGCTGACAATGACCTGAGTGAGGTGGTGGCACTAGCTGGAGGAAACACTTCATCAAGTTGTGGAGAAACATCAACCTTGAGGAAAATCTGACACATTGTCACCAAGAAAGACAGGTTCTTTTAAAGTTTTACATTGACAGTACATTACGCACACATCTTGCTTCGGAAACACCAAACCAAGACCGCTTTCTTGGATATTTATTTGTCCATGTTATCCCTCTCCCAAGCTGTTATTTAAACAGCTGATAGGTTGGTGAAAGAGTTTTTAGGAGTGTTCAGCTTGCCATCTGACATAATTGTTCAAGCAAGGTACTAATTTGATCACCGTTGTTTGAAGGGCTTTATTTGCTTCTATTGGCACTAATAAGCTTTACATCTGGATATCACGTTCAGTTTTTTAAGGGCAAGTTTTGACCTTGAAACCTCTCTGTGTTGGATCTTCCAATCTCACAGCCTGGTCTCCCTGCCACCCTAGGTGAAAGATCGAAGATGCTCATATTATTTGTTCACATTTTTGGTGGAGGAATTGTTAGTGGCCTCTGTCCAGGCTAGGACTTCACACTGCCACCAGGATCTGCTATCAAATTTAAAAGCTTCTCTAATCTTCCCTTTGAAGGCCCCCGGCAGCTCCAAATAATTTCTACTTCAATAAATGAGCCAACATTTGAGTGTGCAACCTTGGTTCTTTTCTACATTGTTTCTTTTTATATGTAAAACTTTTCTTTGTTCTAGAACAAAGGCAACTGTGACATGCACCGTTGTTATAAGGCAGCGACAAGAGTTTAGAATATTTGTGATCAAAACAAGAAAACTTTGTAAGCTTGAACTTCATGGAAGCCCCTGTAGATATGAGCTGATCATATTTTTTAGCATATTTTCATTAACAAAAAGAACAAAAGATAGAAGGGATTCTTTCCTTTACAGCAAGGGTCACCAATGTGGTGCTGACAGGCGCCAGGTAGTCGCAAGGACCACATTAGAAGGCTGTGGGCCTGTTCTAAAAATAGCTCGCCAGTGATGGGACATTGTGATTTCCTTGGAATATCATAGAAGTGATCATTTGAAAGAACATTGGCAAAGATTTATAGAGATATTGCATATTGTAATGTTCTGTCTCCTGATTATTGTGGAGAAATCATTCACATGATCGGTGTCTTTACATAGATGACTGTATTGACTTGATAGTAATGCAATAAAGGAAATTTGAGCAAATTTTGTATTTTAAAAGTGTGTCTGAAAACTAGCCAAGAAGTAGCTCTCAGCAATCAAAAACAACAAACAATCACATACAGATATGGAACTGCTTCTCGGCCAGAGTTACAGACAATGTTTTGAAATGACCATTAACAGAAAACAAAACAAAAACAAGGCTCTGGATCCTTGTATGTCAAACTAAACCAAACATTCATTCCATCATGTCTTACTGTGGCTGTGCCAGTGACTGTCTGACTGCCGATGTCTGATCCATTCTGGTCACTGTGGCTCTGTGTCGACTGGTAGATGTTGAGTGGATGGTCGCTGACAGAGGCCTGAACCCCGGAGTAGTCTTGAGGTGCTGGCTGCTGGTGTGAATGTGGATGGGAGTGTGCATGTGGGTGAGTGTGTGAAGCAGTGAACTCTGTGGTAATGCCATTCTGGGGAGGAGGGGCAAACTGGGCGGATGTGTAAGTCTGAGCCATGGATGGATCTGGGGGTGTCGGTGTGTCTTGGTTCCCCTGTGTAGAGAAAGAAATTCACCTTTTGAACATGAAAAATGCATTTTGCATGTATAATGTAAGACTTGTGAGGGATGTTTGACTACATCTTTGATCAACTATAATGAACTACATTTTAATAATTAAACCGTAAACTGTTATGAATTACATATTCAATGACAGAAAAAAAGATGACCAGAGGAGTATGGATGTCACTTAACTTCCCTTATCTGATGACATGTTCTTAAGATAGCAAAGTGGGTGAGACTGATTAGACATAGACAAAGTGCCTATTGGTTGAAGCAAAGTAGTACACTCAATTTGCCTCAGTCACTTCAGAAGATTATTAATCTCACATAATGGACCAAGAGGCTACAAAAGCTTTTTTTTTTTTTTTTCAACAGTTTTTCTCAGACACTTTGGTACATTTCACAAAACCAAATTTAAATTTGCAAAACTTTGCATTTCTCAAAATTATTCAGACAAATAACAAAAGCTCTTTTCTTTGTGAAAATCTTTAGTTCATCTCTCAGAAGTAAAAATTTGTGTCACAGAACATGGCAGTGTCATCAGAATAATAAGTCCTTTTGTCATTGTGGATGGATAAAATTCAAATTACTTAGTCATGTTGTCAATGGAACAGTGTACAATGGAGGCATGTTCTGGTGTAAACTGCCGCTTAAGTTTTGCTGACAAATTCACGATTCAAAATTGAAATTTTGTACATGTGGAAATTGGTTGCAAGAGACTGGGAAAGATTCAAATGTCACTTTTCCCTAGAGTCAGCCCGAAACCTTCTGTCACAATTTTTTTTTTTTTAACAAATCTATAACACACCTGTGGGTATTATTTTTAAAAAATAGTCATCGATATTTCGTGTTGAAAACAGCTTTGATGATTCATTGCTAATTGTTGAAGTTTCCGTGATGATTTTGGAGGAGTGACGATTCCGCCAGACGATAGCATTTTACCGGTTGTGATATGTTTATAAAAAAACTGTACAAATGTAAACATGGGACAATCTCAAGGAAAATTGTACTTGTAATACCCTAAAAATTACAGTGCAGTCCGACTACTTCCTTTGGGCCACAAAAGCTCATCCACATACCAAGAATCATCACATGCTGTGAGCATTTTCAGAACACTAGTTGATCATTGGTTGATCAAATGCTTCACACATTTCCCTTTGTTGAAAAAAGAAGAGGGGAAAATGATCTAATAGAAATGTATAGAAATATGCTTGACATATGACATAATTGCAGTGAGGAAATGGATCCAAGCAGGTATGGAACAAACAGTGTTTGGGGTGTTATTTGGTAGAAGAGTCTCTGCTCGGAGGAAGGGTAAAGTTTCTCAGACAGTGTTGAGGCTGGCCATGGTGTACAGATTACAGATGAGGGACACTGACGAAATGACAGGAAGCAGAGCTGAGGGTGGCAGAAATGAAGCTCCTCGGGTTTTCTTTGGGAGTCACCGCGATGGATTGGGAGGGACAGCCAAGGTTAGATGTTTTGGGAAAAGGTTAGCGCAAACCGACTTAGGTGGTTTGGGCACGTACTGAGGAGAAATAGTGAGTATATTGGTCGAATGGCGATGATGGCGGAAGGAGGACCTCAGAGAGGTTTTATGCATGTTGTGAGAGGGAAGACATGAGGGCATTTGGTGTTAGAGATGATGCAGATGATAGACTTCAATGGAAAAGGATGACACACTGTGGCAAGCCCTAACGGGACAGGCCAAAATGAAAAGAAGTAGTTGGTAATTTTGACTACATACACACACACACACACACACACACACACACACACACACACAAAATAGGAAAATGTGTGCAAAAACACACATGCTGTTTTACCCCTAGACATTGGCAGGATCTCTTATATGAAAAAAAAAAATCTGTTGAGATCTTAAAAATCGGCATGTGTGGCTGAGTGTCCCTTTGCATTTCTTTCTTCACTTCAAGCTAATCATAAAACTACCACTTCATCATCATCATCATTCTACCCACATTCCCAACAAGAAATATAAGCCAGATCAGCGTTGGTTGTTGTGGTTAATCCAACGGATCTTTCCCTCTTGATGGAAATGTGGCATGAGCCATCTTTTCCGCTGTGAGCTTCCACCCCTACCAAGACATCACAATACCCTAATCTCAAATACAACGGGAGCAAAATTTCCTTTGTCAAATAAATGCAGAGTAGCTGTTACTGTACAGTGTTTTATCATTATGCCTTGACATCATCGAGTCTCAATGTGCTGTGAAAAGAAATCTCTTAGGTGTTGCCCCACACTTTTCATACCTTCGAAGCCCAATGCCCATGTTGGCTTCATTCCTCTGAGAATTTTCTGTACAAGATGAAACATTGCTTAGACTTCCAGCAATTAAAAAAAAAAAAAATTCGGTTCTCAAACAAACTGAGCGCACTTGAATGCACCATTTGACTCCTCTCGCCCCCCTTACACGAGGAAGTGACGCTTCCTCGGGTAGACAAGGAAGTGACGCTTCCTCGTGTTGCTTTCCATTGTGAGCAGACGTGTTCAGTAAACATTTTTATTTTAAAAAGAG